TTAACGAAGGTGGGAAATTGTGGCATTTTTTTTGCAAAACTCCAAAAGTTGTTTTACCTTAAGACTTATGAAAAAAATGTCAAATTTACCAACTCTGCTTCTGATTCTGCATAAATTGATCGTAGTCTAATTCTAAATTCCGGCGAAAATAGTGCTTTAGCTTTTTTATTCTACTCTTAATTCGACTTAACACTCTTTTTAACTATTTCTAGTTCGCAAATATTACCAGCTATCGATTAAATCTTTTTTTCTTCTTCTTCGAAAATCAGTTTAATTGATTAATGACTCGAAAATTTCAAATTTATAGGTTTTCGTTCGTGATTTTGTCCCAAGTGCTCTAGCTTTCCTTATGAATGGCGAGCCGGACATTGTGAAGAACTTCCTTCTGAAAACCCTTCAGCTTCAAGGGTGGGAAAAAAGAGTAGACAGATTTAAGCTGGGTGAAGGGGTCATGCCAGCTAGCTTCAAAGTGCTTCACGATCCTGTTCGAAAAACAGATACGATCGTGGCTGATTTCGGGGAGAGTGCAATCGGGCGTGTGGCCCCGGTTGACTCTGGCTTCTGGTGGATTATTCTTTTACGTGCGTACACAAAGTCAACCGGAGACCATTCTCTGGCCGAGACACCCGAGTGTCAGAAGGGGATGAGGCTTATCTTGGCCTTGTGTCTTTCCGAAGGCTTCGACACTTTCCCTACTTTGTTGTGTGCTGATGGTTGCTCGATGATTGATCGTAGGATGGTAAGATGACTTCAACTCTCTCTCTCTCTCTCTCTCTCTCTCTCTCATGCACGCACACACTAAATGAGATAGTTGAGAAGCTTATTAAGGCAACTTCATGAATGCATATAAGAGAAGGAATTGATGGGGTTTTTTTGACATATTAATAGAGGCAACTTTTTGTCTTTGGGAGTTTTGCATAGTTTAATGAGTAACTATAAAAATCTAATTCCACCAAAGAAATATAAAGATAAAAAAAAAAAAAGGAAGCAATGTGTTTATTTTTAAGAAATGCCCTTGAGTTATGGTTTTGCTTTAATTTAATATGGAGAAGAAGTAATGGTCCTATAAATGTCATTGTGGTTTTTTGAGATTTCGGTGGTTTATAGCGAGAAAGATTGGAACATAATCAATCTAAATGAGTTTTTCGTAATCTTAAAATAAAACTATTTTGGTAATTAGCCCACGGTTTTCATGTTTTGGGATGTATGGCAGGACATGTGTGTGTGTGTGTGTGTGTGTGTGTGATATCAACTTTTATCATCAGCAATGAGTTTTATCGCTGTTTTCGACATTAAATTTACACGATGATTTAGTTTTTTTTCGCCTTCATGATTGATGCTGTTAAATTGAAATTTTCAAAACTAAGGCATACACAATTCACTGTAAGTCAAGAAACCACATTGCTTTCGGGGTTAGTTTTCCTCGTAAACATAAAGAAAAAAAATCCGAAACAAAACCGTAAAATATTTGTATTTCTCGATCAAAAAACTTCCATCAAATTTAACTCAGAATAAAATATACCAGGCTTGATCATAATTCAGTCGACACTCAACGTGACTTCTAAATTTTTACTACACGTTATTTTACAAGTACCTGATAAAAGATCTCGGTAAAAAACTGACAGGGCATATACGGGTACCCGATCGAGATCCAAGCGCTCTTCTTCATGGCCCTCCGTTCTGCGCTCGTCATGCTAAAGCACGACACGGAGGGCAAAGAGTTCATCGAAAGAATTGTGAAGCGGCTTCACGCCCTGAGCTACCACATGCGCAGCTACTTCTGGCTCGATTTCCAGCAGTTGAACGATATCTATCGCTACAAAACAGAAGAATATTCCCACACGGCAGTCAACAAATTCAACGTAATCCCCGATTCCATACCCGAGTGGCTCTTTGACTTCATGCCCACGAAAGGCGGTTACTTCATCGGCAATGTCAGCCCAGCCCGCATGGATTTTCGGTGGTTTGCTTTGGGCAACTGTGTGGCCATTTTATCGTCCTTAGCCACGCCTGATCAGGCCTCGGCTATTATGGACCTTATTGAGGAGAGATGGGAGGAGTTAGTAGGAGAAATGCCTTTGAAGATTTGTTACCCGGCGATCGAGAGCCACGAGTGGCGAATCGTGACTGGCTGTGACCCGAAGAACACGAGGTGGAGTTATCACAACGGGGGTTCTTGGCCAGGTTCCTTTATTTTTATCTATTTTTTTTTTAATATTATGCTCTTCGTTTAGCGAGTTTTAATTGGTTTTATTACAAGAATAACCAGATTTATCGAGGAAAATAAAGTAAATATCTTTACAAATTTTGCATTATCCCTATTACAAATTCAAGATATTATAAGTGGGATTTTCATAGTTGTGGAAAATAAGTGTTTCTCCTGTTTATGTTATAAATAAACCGAGCGCTCATGGATAGTATATTGTAAATTAATCCTTTAGTAACTTACAATAAATGATCACTCGGGTCTGTCCATCGGTTCGAAAGGGTTGACAGTAAAATGTAGTCTAGTTTCACCCTTCAAAAAAATGTAGTTTTTTTTTTCATAATATTTTTCTTAATAAAACATGTTAGAATATGAAGAAAATGCTTGCTCAAAAATCTCATCCTTTTGGAATACAGTGCTTTTATGGTTGCTAACAGCCGCATGCATCAAGACTGGACGCCCACAAATAGCAAGAAAGGCGATTGACCTTGCCGAAAGCCGTCTACTGAAGGACAGCTGGCCCGAATACTATGATGGAAAATTAGGAAGATTTATAGGTAAGCAAGCTCGAAAATACCAGACATGGTCGATTGCTGGTTATCTCGTCGCGAAAATGATGTTAGAAGACCCGTCACACTTGGGAATGATTTCCCTTGAAGAGGACAAACAGATGAAGCCTGTTATCAAGAGATCCTCCTCGTGGACTTGTTGAGTTACAAGTGAAAGTCGAGAGCTTCAAAAAAGGTAAAAAAAAAAAAGGAAGTATGAGCTCTTGTAGGAAGAGAGTAAGGCGATTAGATATTATTTTTTACATTAAAAACAATGGACTTCAATTCTTTTGGTGAATTCTACGCTCATTCTTGTGTACATTAGTGTGTCTAGCAAGACTATCTTTTTTTTTTTTTTTTT